TGATCATTCCTGCATACTTAGGTTGTTAGGGTTTGCAAAGAGATTTGAAACTCTGTGATTTAGGCATAGATAACTTCTGCAATGAGAATTGATTAGTTATATATCAGTGATTCATGTTTAAAACGGTTCTTAATCATTCCTGATTTCATGCATTCTACATTCTTGGATTCAACCTGCGAACTGTCATGACTTAGCGCTTTTAGTCTTCTGAAACTTAGATCACCTTACAAAATTGCTTGCTTACTTTTATTTAATCATTCGCATTATATACATTATATCCTGCTTAGCTTAATCCGAACCTACATTCGATAGTGTAGTTTACATTACTCTCTTGGGATTCGATACCCCTTGTACTACAACTGCTTTTGCTGTGCACTTGCAGTAGTTTTATTTGGGTAAAACCTGAGCCCTATCAAATTTTTGGCACCGTTGCCAGGGAGTAATAGCTGCCTATCGATTTTTAGTATTAGGATTTTGTCTAAGTTTTAATTTTTTTACTGACTTTCAGTTTCTTTTCTTTGTGCTGGTTTCAGGTGTATGCCTAATCGTAGTACCAGAAGAAACAAGGAGAAGGAGCTTGTGACTTTGAGCATCGACGAACTAGCTAGGTTGGAGAGAACTAACAGAAAAGCTAGGAAGCAATCTACAATGGTCGCTCCACTTATCTTGGTTGAAGATGCAGAAGGTCACTTGATTGACATAGAAGGAAATAGGAGAAACGAAGAGGGGCAGAGGATTGATCAAGAGGGGAATGTCATTGTTGAACAGCAGGTTCAACAAGTAGATGAGAACGTTGGAGTCCCTTTTGCTGCAAATAATGCTGCTGGGCGTTTTGTTCAGAGGACTCTAAGTGACTACAACAGACCAGATCAGTTCTATGCGAACAGAGCTGCAATCCGCCCTCCTGCCTTCCAGAGGAACGATTTTGAGGTTAAACCTGTCTACTATCAGCTGGTTGGCCAGCATCCATTCCATGGCTTACCTCATGAGCATCCTATGGATCACATTGAGAGGTTTGAGGACTTAGCTTCCAGTGTCAAAGCTAATGGTGTTAGCAATGACTTTCTGTTCTGTAAGCTTTTCCCTTACTCTCTTGAAGGAGAAGCTGCATATTGGCTGAAACAACTGGAACTTGCTTCATTGACCACTTGGGAAGACACTAAGAATGCCTTTCTGAACAACTTCTATGATGATGCAAGATCAGAAGACATGAGTACAAAAATTGCATCCTTTACACAAGGTCCTACTGAAGCTTTTAAGGCTTCTTGGATCAGGTTTAAGTCTTATCAAAGGGACTGTCCTCATCATGGCTTTAGTCAGGTGCAACTACTTGAGGTCTTCTTCAGAGGCATTGACTGGACGTATCAGATGGCGCTAGATGCAGCAAGTGCAGGAAACTTCAACACCAACAGACCAGAAGAGGCGATCAGGTTGATTGAGAATTTGGTCTGCAGCAACAGCATTAAGAATGCAGATTTTCAGAGAATGAAACAAGCTGGTGTGGATGATGAAAATTAGATTGCTGAAGTTAAGGCTAAGCTGGACAGTATGCACAGCCTCTTTGTGGGAAAGAAGTCAGTTCAGTTTGCTCAAGAAGTGGAGAGTTTCAAAAATCATGAAGAATTTGAGCAGAAAGATGTTAATTTCATCAATGGAGGGGGTTTTCAGAGCCAAAGGTTTGGAAATCAGCAATGGAACAGAGGCTACAACATCAACAATCAGCAGAGTACCTTTACAGGAGGACAGAGTACGCCTGGTTACACTCATAAGCCCCTATTCCAGAAGACTGAAGTTGAGAAACCTTACCAAAACAGCAGAAATTTTGGTTCTTCTTCCTACCAAACTGCACCTCCTCAAGACAATAAGATGGAAGCTATGCTGGAGCAGTTACTTGAAGGACAGAAGAAGATGACAATGAACTTCAATGGCAAGATGGATTTGCTGTATCAAGACCTGAATGGGAAAATTGAGAGTCTGAACTCTCACATGAAGAAGCTTGATGTGCAGGTTGCTCAAACTGCAGAAGCTGCTCAAAGGCAAGAGGGATTCCTTCCTGGAAGGACTGATATAAATCTCAAGCACCAGATTAATGCCATCACAGTCATGAGTGAAAAGGAGCTTGAAAAAGTGCAGGATAAGAGGATGAGTGTAGAGAAAATTGTGCAACAAATGGAGTTTGAAGATGAAATTTTTGCTATCTCAGAGATCAGTGACGAGCGTCACCAAGAAGGGTGTCGCTCGTCACCCAAATTGCAAGCCCCCGACATATTTTCTTCAGAAACTGGTGACGCTCGTCACCAGTTGGGCGACGTTCGTCACCAGGCTGGAGCAGAAAGTCACGATTCATTACAGGTGAGTGACGATCGTCACCCCCTGGTGACGGTCGTCACCCACCCCAGAATGACGACTTTTCGAATGTAACTGCAGATAATAGCATGGAGCAAGCATATAAACCCAAGATATCCTTCCCCAAGCATCCTAGAAGGTCTAAACAGGAGATAGAAGAAGCTAGATGCAAACCTATGATAGATAAGCTAATGGTTGAGATGCCTTTTGTAGATGCAGTCAAGCTTTCACCAGCTCTAAAAGGTATGTAAAGAGAATGGTTGTGAATGGTGTAAGTCTTGAGGAAGGAGCATTGCTTACCAGAGACATCAGTGCAATCCTCTTAGGCACAGTTCCAAAGAAGAAGAAGAAAGTGACTGTTTCTGAACAAGTCAATACCATCACTCAAACCAGAATTCCAGAGAAGCTATCTGATCCAGGGACCTTTGTGCTTGATTGCTCAATCTCTGCAGGACGTTTTCCCCACTCTCTATGTGATCTAGGGTCAGGTATTAATTTGATGCCTTTCTCTGTTGCTGCTAGACTTGGAATGACTGAGTTCATGCCAGCTGGGATCTCTCTCATCCTAGCAGATCGATTTATAAGAACCCCAGAAGACATCTTAGAGGATGTTCCTGTTAACATTAAAGGCTGCATAATTCCTACAGATTTTGTGGTTCTGAAATATACTGAAGAACCTAAAGATCTTCTTATTCCAGGAAGACCATTCTTGGCTACTGCTGGCGCCATCATTAATGTGAGAAAAAGGAATATTGAGCTTGATCTTGGCGATGTTGTCATGAACTTTGACATGAATAAGTTAAGAAGGAGTTCTACCATTGATGGTCAAACCTTTTCTGTAAGAACTTCTAATGATAAGAGCCTGTCATGGAGCATTCAGAAGACACAACTGCTGGGTATGTCAATGAATATGATACAAGTGGGCAAGTGAACAAGATGGCTGCTCAAGAGGAAATATCTGAAGTTTATGCAAAAGCTGTTGGGTTTGAGGATTGGACTGAAGATGATATCTTCAGGAATAGGCTTGAAGAAGAGGTTCCAATAAATGCCAAGTTACTGGAGGAAGACGTGTTTGTGATTGAAGCAAGACTTGCAGAGCTGAATTGCAGGAAAACTGCAGAAACTCGAATTGCAGAGTCAGTGACGAGCATCACTGACCTGGTGACACTCGTCACCAACCTAGACACAAAGGAGAGACGTGATATTTACTCTACAAGTCCATCTTATGTTGCCAAACCAAAAAGTCACCATTCCACAACCCAGAAACCTGCAACTTGGGAAATGTATGGACTTCCTGGAACCAATTCTAAACCTCCTAATCATATCAATAAGAATTTACAAGGTGCAATAGATGCTTCACACTTATACAAGCAACGAGATTCTCGTAGAATGCTTGGTGTTTCTTTTGATGATTCTGCAGGAAAACGAAATGTCCCACCCACACTCACGACCCACCCTGCTGATGTTCCTCACTTTCTTAGAAAAATTCATGCATCTACTGCTTATAAACCACCATGGATGACGAGACATTCTTCTCCAAGGCATTCACTGCCACCTTCTGCTCCACCAGCTGTCTGAGCAGCATTCAAAGTCGAGCTAATGACTTTAAACAAGCGCTTGGTGGGAGGCAACCCACTAGTAAGTTTTCTTTTCCATATACTTATTTTAGTTTTCTATTACATAGCTAAAAAAAAACCCAAAAACATGAGAAAATATCGAAAAAAAAGAGTCAGTTTGTTCAGTTTGCTTGGATGATGTCTTGTGAACTTGTTGAACCATGGGTTATGCTTCGTTTGGATGTCTTGATGTGTGTTTTGAGTGCTCTTACAGTCTTACTTCGGAGTACACATGATGGCATAACGTTTAAACATCCAACATGACAATTCTGAAGTCTCAGTCGTGGTGACGCTCGTCACCAATCTGGTGACGCTCGTCACCCGACCCTTCGCGAGGTACCACTTTTTCACATTGGTTTTACGACTTCTCATTCATCTTTTTGACCAACTCTTGGCTAAATAACACTGGGGATAGTGTTGTTTTAGTCTGAGGGAGGTGGTTACTGACGTTGTGTGCTTTGTGTCATGTTTATAGAGTCTTAAAGTTGAGTCAAAAACCTGTTTTTATAGAGTCAAAATTTTGAAATTGTCAGTTTTTCTTGGAACTAACCATAGGACGTTTTTGCTTATAAGAACCATTGCTACAGTAGTTGATTACAAGTCTTACTAAGTTGAAAGTCATAGGTAGATCAGTCTAGCAATGAAGGTTTAGGTTCTTAGAGAATCTGAAAAATTTGCTGTTAGCTTCACCTTAATGAACTTTAAACTTCTTGTCTTGGGGCTTGATTCTTATTGATCTTGATTCTCTCTTTCAACACTAACAATAAGGTTAAGATACAGTCTCTCTTTGATCTTCCCTGATGTAGTTTTAAAAGTTTAAGTCCAAAGAATGGTACATTCATGACCCTGTCTCCTCACAAGGAATAACAGTAGTGAACACACTCAAGAACCTGTATCCTCACAAGGAACAAAATTATTGGGTAGCACTATATCTTAGACTGTAAAAGTTGAGAAAAAGAAGTGAAAAATCGAAAATATCCATTGGGTTTGCATAGTAAGCTTATAAACGTAGCTGTGCCTGAGACGATAGACGAAAGAGCGATCAACACGAAGAAAGATCTTAATCCATGGGAGAGAACTGAGAACATTTCACTCTGTCTCAATTCTGCAAAGGCAATTGGCTGCACCGTCGTCAACATTGGAACTCAAGACATTGCTGAAGGAAGAGTGAGTACTTGTGATCAGTAAAAGAAAGGCTTCTTCCTTTTTTATTCTTACTCTGTTTTCTAATCTTTACTCGTCTTTGTAGCCACATCTCGTACTTGGGTTGATCTTTCAGATTATAAAGGTAGTTACTTTACATTACTTATAGCATAAGACGATGAGACATGGTTACTAATTTTTTGTTTTTCTTATGTTGGGGGGAACCAATCAGATTCAATTGTTGTCTGATCTCAATCTCAAGAAAACTCCACAACTTGTTGAGTTGGTGGAAGAAAATCAGGTTAAAAGTCTTGAACTTTGAACCTAAACAAGTTAAAATGTGTAACTTGAGGCTGAAACTATACTTAATGGTTTTTGCAGGATGTGGAGGAGCTTATGGGACTAGCTCCTGAAAAACTTTTGCTCAAATGGATGAATTTTCATCTCAAGAAAGCTGGTTATGAGAAACAGGTCACCAATTTCTCATCTGATGTGAAGGTAATAACTTCTTTTATTTAATTTAATTTAATTTTATGTGTTCACCTTGTTGCAATTTTCGTAGTTCTCTTGAGGAAATCTATCTCTTGTATTTGTCAGGATGGAGAGGCATATGCATATCTGCTAAATGTTCTTGCCCCTGAACACAGTACAGATGTGACAATAGAGATCAAAGACCCTTCAGAAAGAGCCAAGAAAGTCCTTGAGCAAGCAGAGAAGCTTGACTGTAAAAGATATCTTTCTCCAGAAGATATAGTGGAAGGCTCTGCAAATCTTAATCTTGCATTTGTGGCACAACTGTTCCATCAAAGGTAAATATCAAGAAAGCTTGATGGTTATTATATTTATTCTTCTGACTTTGCTTGTTTGTTTATTTATGTATGATTCTTTGTTGTAGGAACGGATTTTCTGACGAGGGTGGTTCAAAGACACCTATCTCTTTTGCTGAGATGATCACAGAAGATGAAGAAACTTCTCGAGAAGAACGTTGCTTTCGCCTCTGGATCAACAGTCTTGGTGCTGCTACTTATGTCGATAATGTTTTCGACGATGTTACAAACGGGTGAGCATTTGCAGTTTTTGTTCGTTTCATTGGTTTTTTGATTTTCTTGAATCTAAAACTCTTCTCATGATATGCAACCAGATGGGTTCTTCTTGAAGTTCTTGACAAAGTATCACCAGGCTCGGTTAACTGGAAACACGCGAATAAACCGCCAATCAAAATGCTATTGAAAAAGGTTGAATTGCAACCAAGTGATCAAGATTGGTAAAGAATTGCGATTCTCGCTTGTTAATGTAGCTGGTACTGACATTGTGCAAGGAAACAAGAAGCTCCTTCTCGGTGAGATAGCTCTCTCTCTTGCAAAAAGAAAATAAGATTGTGATTTGAGTTAATAACTTGATGATGACAATCTTTGTATGCAGCGTTCTTGTGGCAATTGATGAGATACACAATGCTCCAGGTTCTGAATAACTTGAGATCTCACTGGCAAGGTGAAGAAATTACAGAAGCAGATATTCTAAGCTGGGCAAATAGGAAAGTCAAGAAAAGGGGTTTAACCTCTCAAGCAGTGAGCTTCAAGGTAAATAGAAAGAGTCAAAACTAATGGAGACTTAGAGTACCCATATTCATATAACCCGAAACAAATTTTGATGGTTATTTTTCTAGGACAAGAATCTGTCAAATGGAATCTTCTTTTTGGAGCTTTTGAGTGCTGTAGAGCCAAGAGTTGTAGACTGGAGTCTTGTAACAAAAGGAGAAACTGGTAATTAATAATACTAAGTTACTTTGTGCTGTCTACTTGAGTTGTTTATTATCAGCATTTGAGTTAGGTTTGGTTTGTGCTTGGAAATTGTAAGCAGAAGAGGAAAAGAAGTTGAATGCAACATACATCATAAGTGTTGCAAGGAAGCTTGGGTGCTCAATTTTCTTGTTGCTTGAGGATATTATAGAGGTAAGATATAGCTTTCACATTGTGCATTTTTTTTCCAAGCTTTTGGTTGATCTGTTTGTATATAAAACAATGGTAACAGGTAAACCAGAAAATGATGCTTATATTGGCTGCTAGCATCATGAACTGGAGCCTCCAACAACAATCAGACACTGAGTCTATAGTCTCTGATGATGGTGACGTAAGCTATGTGAGAGAAGATGGATATTCAAATGCACAAAATGATGATGAAGATGTGAAACAAGTTTGAAGTTTCTTCTTCTTGGCATTGGAGTTTATGTAGCAGAAGAGAAAACAAGAGAGAGAAATAATGTGGCTTTTACATATACAAATCAGAGATTATGAACCAATTTATAAACCTTTTTATATATTGTCAAATTTTTGGCAAACATACAAAGAGATGAAAAAAATTATATCATGGCCAAAATTGTGCCATAACAAGAGAATGAGATTCTATTATTAACATAGTTTGTGTAAAGAAGGATTGAAAATTTTTCTATATAAAAGTACAGAGAAAGGAGCAACAAATATAAAGAAACAAAAGACTCAAAACTTCGCCTTCACCAGTAACTATGCGCCAGTGTCTTTGTCATCCTTAGCTTCTGACTCTGCCATCTCCACGAGCATTCTGAGTCGCTTATCGAAAATCAAAGCGCTCTCGTCTCTCATGTCAAGCTCTAAAGCCTCTGCTTCAAGCCACTTCTCTCTCAGGTCATCGAGCAGATTCACTTGCTCAGCGGTCATCATTGCGCCTGGTGCACTTGGAACAGTGGTTCGAAGTGAAGAGTCTCCTGATGGTGGAGGCAATGTCAATAGCATCGTCCTGAACTCGCGAGTTTCAACAAACGCCTCGAAGTTACAAGCAACCAAGTCTAGGCAGTACTCTCTTATCTTCAACACACCGTACCTATGCCATTCATGTTCAAAACTAAACCTCAAAACCAGCTTCATGCATGAAACTACAGACTTAGAAACTCCAAGAACTAGCATATGTACCATTAACCTATCCTCCTCGACCATCGAATGATCCAACAATTAGAAAATATTGGTTTAGATAAGAAAAGTATCATACATATCTGACAAAACCAGCCAATGACAGAGTTCCGCAGGTGTGGCAGTTTCCAAGTGAGGCAACAAGGCTTCACCCACAGCACGTTTAAGAGGAAACAACAAGTAGCGAGATGCAACATCAAAGATTTCCTCAGCCTGCAAAATGAGTAAATTATCAGAAGGTATAACACAGTAAAATTTATAAATCGCAAACAGGTCTTTACCTGATTCGGATTGATCTCCTTCAAGCCATCGGTGTACCTGATAATGCTTATGGAGTTAGCATACTGTGCGGAAAAGCAAACTTTTTTCGGGAACTTTTTACAGTCACGAGATGCTTACATATACTCAATCATCTTCTCGAAAGCCTCTGCGCTCAAGTCATGTTCTTCGAGAAATGGAAGATTCTCACTAGGCAAACTATTCTTGCCCTCATGGAAATCATTCACGCGGGATAATCGTGCTCTGAAGTACTCTGATCTCGAAGCTAGAATGACTTGATGGCAGTAGAAAGTCCTTTTATCAACTTTAACACAAACATCAACAAGGTTATCCACAGAATCACCGACTCTCATATCCCCAATAGATGAATCGATATCTGCAAACGATTTCGCAAGGGAAACTCGAAGAATCCGGTGCAATGAAGCAGGAAGCCTGTCTTCCTCTGGAAGGGATATCCCCTGTAAGATAAACCGTTTCATGGAGTTATCAAGATCCCTATGTGTCTTGTACTCTGCATATTTCTGGTGAATCAGTTCCTTCTCAATGATCTTCTGCAGCGACTCGCATTTACAAACTTTGCAGATCCTCACGAGGTCTTCCATATCATCCACCGAAATCTCCAGCCTATCCGAGTAGAAGAAGTGGATGAGACTACACAGAGCAGGATACGAGAGCTTCTCTTTGGACAACCTAACTTCTCTCCGGTTTTTCCATTCATTCTCAAACTTTTGCTTGAAAAACGGAGATCGAGCACTTAAGATAACCCTGTGTGCTTCAAGTGGTCTACCTTGCACGAAGAATACAACATCCGGTGGGAAGTAATTGGAGCTACCCACCTCATCAACTGAAACTGAGAATGCAAATATTCTCGTGCGTCAGTCTCTAGAGCACATACAAAGGGCTAACAAGCACAAGAGGATAGATACAATACAAGACTATCTCAGTGTAATCATATCTCTACAACTATAATGTACTGAACGATTCAAGAACTCATACAAAGCAACAGGCAGAAGAGGATAGAACCATTTGGATTTAAAAAAGGGAAACGAAACTACAATGTGCTAAATAGGATTCAAGAACTCAATTTTCCTAAAGAAATTGGACTGTGAGTGAAATCGTAAAGCAAAATAAATCCCAAAATCAAAACTTGGTATCACAATTGAGAATTCGACGAGCAATTGAGATTGTAATCATCTCTACAACTACAATGTACTGAACGATTCAGGAACTCAACTTAATCAGCATCTCCTACAAAAATGGATTATTGGATTGTGACTGAAATGATAAGAGTGAGCGATTCAAGAACTCAACTTTAATCAGCATCTCACACAAAGCAACAGGCACAAGATCCATTAGATTTAAAAGAGGAAACACAACTACAATGTGCTGAATTGGATTCAAGAACTCGACTTTCCTAAGAAATTGGTCTGTGGCTGAAATCGCAAAGAAAAAGAAATCCCAAAATTAAAACTTGGCTTCACAACTGAGACTGTGATGTGCTGAACGATTCAAGAACTCAACATTAATCAGCATCTCATTACAAAGTAACTGGCACAAGAGGATCGCTCCATTGATTTTAAAAGAGAAAAACAACTACAATGTACTGAATTGGATTCAAGAACTCAACTTTCCTTAAAAAATGGGATTGGGAGTGAAATGGTGAAGAAGCAGAAATCCCAAAAATCAATAACTCAGCTTCACAATTGAGAATTCGATGATCGGAAGAAACATACCGGAAACATCAATATTAGCATCGGAAGCTTGTTTCAGATAAGCCCGATTGTGACAACATCCCAAAAACGTTTCCCTAAGAGAAGCTTGCAAGGGACCAAGCGGAGGCGGACGAGCTTCAAACGCCTTAAGAAGCTTCCGAATCCTGAGATTAAGAGAAGCGTAGTGACAACGATCGCCGTCGAAAGTATGTTCGGAGCAAATCGCGCCGTTCTCTAGAAGCATCCTCGCGGCGTCGATGTGGCCGGCGAGACAAGCGTAATAGAGAGCGACGGAGTCCCATCGGTCACGGGCGTTGACGTTCACTCCGGTCTCGAGAAGGTATCGGAGCCTATCGACGTCACCGGCGCGTGAGGCTTCGAAAACGTCTCCGTTGGGGACTTTCTTCAAAGGTACGGATGGTCCGTAATCCTGGAGGTCAATGTCTAGATCCTCGAGGTCGGATTCGAGTGTCCAAGACGAGGAATTCTCAATCGGAGACATTTTCAAATGGATTCACTTAGTTCGTAGACGGAATCGCTGGATTTGGTGGGAAACGCATAAACCCTAGAGGAAGAAGCGGTGAAGCTAGTTGCATTGTTCCCCTTCCATAGTGTGTTTTGAGGTTTAATCCTTTTAACTAATTGTGATTTGTAATAATGAGTTTAGTGGGGAGATTAACGATTTTTGCAACTAATTTCATGAGTTACAAGAAATGTGCTTTTGGGCCGAAGAATGGTGTTACAAATCAATTCTACACGACTACACATACATTCCAAAATCCAAAGTGTTAATAAAGTGTAGTCTTTTTTTTTGTTCCTTGTTGTGTTGTTCATTGTGAATAAACCTTTTGATTTGTGTAGAATTTGGATGAGATATATTGTCCATGTCATATTAGAATATTTGATTTTTTTTTAGAGAAAATTTGGTAAATAGACTTAGTTAATAGCGAAATTAGAAAAATGGAACCAATAATCAAAAATTAGGTTATACATATTATACATAGAAATTATAATTATTTTGCCTTTATAATTATTTGATACGGTTTTGATAGATAACAATTAAATTACCATGCTAACTAATATGATATCATGATAATTGTATTAACTATGCTAACTAATATGATACTCCATTAGCACATTGTACAAATATCAAGTTAACATGATAACTATCGGGTTAATGTTGCTATTATTTCATAAAAAATATGAGTTAACTTTGTTCGATTAGCACATTGTACAAATATCGAGTTAACATGATAACTATTGTGTTAATATTACTATTATTTCATGAAAATATGAGTTAACTTTGTTAACTGTATAAGTTATGCAAAATTATTATGTTAACAATGTTATCATATCGAAAATTTATCATACTAACGTTGTGAACATGAAAACTATCGTGGTAACATTGATATTATCATATTAACAATGTTATCATATCAAAAACTTATCATACTAACGTTGTGTATATGATAATTATTGTATTAACATTGATATTATCATCTTTTACCACATCACCACCACCACCGCTTATACCCACCACCACCACCACCAACACTACCACCACCATCGTCATCACCGACACTACCACCACCATCACCACCGCCGGCATCGCCACCACCACCACCATCATCGGCATCACAACCATCACCATCACCGCCGACATCGCCGTCACCTCCACTATCACCGATGCGCTGTCACCATCACTATCTATAATCACCATCATCATTTCTCTTGTTCCAATTTTTAGTTTTGGAAAATTGAAATCAAGTGTATCATAAAAAGAAGAGAGTGTAAAAGAAGTGATAAGGGTTTTATTGTCTTCTTATTGTCAATAGTATCACCAAAAAGGTGTAAGAAATTGTCACTTAATTTTAGAGTTATCGAGGTCCATTCCGTGCAATTACTCTTTTTTTATTCATACAACTCAAAGTACATATGATATGGAAATTTATATATTACGGTCCATAGTAGAAATAGAAACAATGGCTGGCTTACCCTTCTCGTTCAAAAGAAGATCCCGATTGCCCTCGTTATAAAACTCATATATTTATCTAATTATTTTAATGCCAAATTTTATTGATTTATTTTTCTCTCCTTTTCAATTTCAATTGATTACAGACCCAACCATTGTTCAATTGGATCTAGCCCACCCATAAGAAATCCAAACCCGAAATCAATCCAACTCCGACAACTTGGATCGATTAAAATCTTCAAAATCTTACACTCTTTTCAGTTTCCAGTTCAAACCATCGGGTGCGAAACTGAAGGATTCAAACTGAACAGACACGATCCTCGCTAAATTCAAGCCAGTTGACGGACCATTCGTCTTAATATTCACCAATTTCGTATCATCTTCCTCCTCTTTCTCCTCCGAATTCCTTCTCCTCCTCTTCTCTTCCCCCCTTAATCACTTTACTCTCTGAATTCTTCAACTCTCACTCTCCTCCTTTGCTGAATTCCAAGCGAGATAACAATGGCGTCTAAAGGTATGTTGAATTCTGGAATTTCCCTATTGTTTCCCCTCTAATATGTTGATCGAGAAGAGACATGAATTAAGGAAATATATAAACTGGATTTTCTTTTGCAATTCAATAATTTTCATTATCATGGACTCTGATTTTATTTACCCATCGGCTTCTGTCTATTGATGCCTTAATAGTTACGAACTTCTTGTGCGATTGTAGGAGTAAGTGTGGATCCGTCAAGAACAAGAAGCAAGCAGCATCAGAATCTTGGCGAAGGAAGCAGCCTCAGAACCGCATTGGTCAGAACCTTGACGAACTCTGATGATGAGGAGAACCCTACGGTATGTAGTTAGAAGAATTATTGTTTAAACAAGTATGTAGTACGTTGTAAAACTTTTTGAAAGTCATAGAATTTCTAAAAACAAAAGTAACACTTGGTAAAACTTGAATCAGTTGCTCATAGTATTTCTAAAAATTTAAGTAACACTTGGTAAAACTTGAATCAGTTGCAGGATTCGATTGAAACGAAACCAATGCAACCTATGCGGATGTACTTTAATCCGACTGAGTACAAGAAACAGGTGAAGATATCGACCATGTGTTACATTCACAAGGCGGTTAATACGATAAATTCTTTGAATCTTACCATTGAAGAGAGGAATTGGTTTCACAACCACCCACAATTCAAGCATTTCTTCCATATGTATGACGACTCAAACCACAAGGTTATGGGCATGTGGATGCTCCTGCTTCGAACGTCTGAAGTTGAGAAGAGAAGGGAGGCTTGGTTCATTGTGAATGGCATCCCAATTAGGTATTCTCTCAAAGAACACGCTCTGATTTCTGGATTAGATTGTCATCTCTATCCAGAAAACTATAGCCAACTAGGGGGGTATCAAATTCGCTGAAAGACAGTTTGGCAGAGGAACAACAATCACTTATGCAAAAGTGCATGAAAAGCTGTTGAAGATGAAGAAACCACATCCAGATAGGTTGAAGATGTGTGTGTTGTACTTCCTATGTAGCATCATAGTAGGGAAGGAAAAAACTGGAGCGGGAGCACCCTCGGTTGAGAAGTTCTTCATAAGAGCTGTGGATGATCTTGAGCTCTGTAAGACTTTTCCTTGGGGGAGATTCTCGTTTGATGAGAATTTGAAAGATATCCAGAAAGCAATGGTTGATTATAAAGGGGTCGTCGATAGAACATGCAAGTTTCCAAGTTTTTGTACTTCTTTGGAGGTAAAGATTATTCATTGCACCTTTATTCGCTTATTCCTAATTATTAATTGAGAGATATTGTCTAAGTATCGAATTATATGTATTATGTGCAGATGCTAGCCTTTGAGGCAATTCCAGTGTTGAAGAAGACTTTTCGAGAAAACCATAGAGGCGCAGAGAAGAGCTGCCCTCGCATGTGTAAGAGCAAGTTCAAGTCATATGCTATGAAAGGATTTCCTCTTTCGGAAATATATGAAGCACTTGGTACAACTAAGGTTAGAAATTTAAATTTAGTTATCATTTGCAAATTGATGATTTATGTTTAATCTACACTAGAAATCTAAACTTTATTGTACTTACAGGATATTCATAGTGTGTTAGTCCCATCTGCTGAAGAGCAATCTCTTGTAGATGGAATATTGGAAGATGGAGATGAGGAGGATGTATATGATGTCGTTGTTGATGGTTGGATGAAGCTTATCTCTAAAGACAAAGCGATTTGTTTTCAGAAAATGTACAATGATGACATGGCTTTCCGAGAAGAAGAGGAAGGTGAGGAGCATGTGGAATCGCTGGAGGTAGAGAACGAGGAAAATGCAACCAAGGAAAAGTGCAAGAAGAAGAAATCTGTATTCGAGTATGAGGAGAATCTGGCCAAGTTCATTCATGGGGAGAATGCAGCCACTATTAGTATGGTAATTAGGCTGGAGCTTGCGATGGACAAGGGGTTCAAAGAGATCAAGGAGAAGATTGGAGAATTTAGCACAAGACCGTAGCAGTGGAAGAATATGTGAAGGAACAATTAGAGGGGAGGAGGTCATTTGAAGACATGGATAACCAGTATAATGAACCTGAAAAAGTGGTGGAGAAATCTCAAGTTGGAGAAGCCTTAGGCAAGGAGAAGGTAACACTTTGATTTGAGATTAGAAAACAAAAAGTAGTATTTGGTAACACTAGTATAACTAAGTGTTTTTGCTTTGCAGGCGAAATCTGCTGAAGAAACACAGGAGACGTCGATAACTACTCCGTCTGCAGAACCAGCAGCAACTCTGGAAACAGGTGTTGTGGTTACGGATGAAGAGGAGAAGGTAACACTTTGATTTGAGTTTGAAAACAAAAAGTAGTATTTGGTAACACTAGTATAACTATGTGTTTTTTCTTTGCATGCTAAATCTACTGAAGAGACACCACAAGAGACTTGTCAAATAGCAGAGGAGGAGACGACGATGGTTACTCCGTCTGAAGATCCAGCAGCAACTCTGGAAACAGGTGTTGTGGTTACAGATGAAGAGGAGAAGGTAACACTTTGATTTGAGTTTGAAAACAAAAAGTAGTATTTGGTAACACTAGTATAACTATATGTTTTTGCTTTGCAGGCTAAATCTGCTGAAGAGACACCACAGGAGACTTGTCAAATAGCAGAGGAGGAGACGACGATGGTTACTCCGTCTGAAGATCCAGCAGCAACTCTGGAAATAGGTGTTGTGGTTACGGATGAAGAGGAGAAGGTAACACTTTGATTTGAGATTAGAAAACAAAAAGTAGTATTTGGTAACACTAGTATAACTATGTGTTTTTGCTTTGCAGTCGAAATCTGCTGAAGAGACACCGAAGGAGACTTCTCAAATAGCAGAGAAGAAGACGTTGTTGGCTACTCTGTCTGCAGAACCAGCAGCTAATGTGCCTGTTGCAGTAGAAAAGTAAAAAAATCTGCAATTTCATTGGAGAGATGTAGCTCAGTGAGAAAAGTAAGAGATCAGAAGGTGAAGTTCATTACGAGGACTAGAACATTGCGTATGAGCTATCTTTCCGTTCTGAT